TATTTACAATTCGTTACAGTAGCAAAATTATAGTTATGAAGTAGCAACAAAAATAAGTTTATTCTTGGAAGTCACCACAACATGAAGAACTGTATTAAAGGGTCACAGTGTTAGGAAGGTTGAGAACCACTGACTTAGAGGATTAAGGTGCCTGTCACCAAGCCTGATGATTCAAGTTCAATCCCCAGGATTCTCATGGATGAAAGAGAGAACCATCTCCTGCAAGTTGTCTTCTGACCTCCATATACATGCCATGGTCGCATGTGTGTGTGTGTGTGTGTGTGTGTGTGTGTGTGTGTGTACTGTGGCGGTCAGAGGATAATATCACAGAAGTTGGTTTCTCCTTCCACCTTGTTTGAGATCTCTCTTGTTATGTTTGTTGCTATGCTACACCAAGGCTAGCTGGCTTCAGAGCTTCTGGCCGAGTTTCCTTCCTGTCTCCCATCCTGCCCGAGTAGTGATGGGACTATAGAGGCACTACTGCACCGAGGTTTTTATGTGGTTCTGAGATCAGTTCATCAGGACCGCTTAGCAAGCACTTTTACCCTCTGAGCCGCGTCCGCACTCTGAGCGCAAGGATTTCTGTTTTGTGTTTAAGAAGCGCTTGCCCTGTGGAAGATCTAAAGTTTGCTGTCTCCACATGCGACCTCTCCTCTTAGAAAAGCTCCACCATGATGCTGTCTGTCATGATGCCATGCGGTCAGGGAGGCCCTTATTTTCATTAGTGCCTTGTTGTTGGAGTTTTAGCTTCTAGACTATGAGCTTCATAAGCTTCCTTACAAGCTACCCAACCTCAAGTATTGTGTTATAGCAATGGAAAACTGACTGATTACTTTCAGGCCTCACCAACTAAGGTGGATCAGGGAATATGAATACTCAAAGTTCAGATATTCAGGAGAGCTCAGGGAAGTCCAAAAGGCTGTCTTGTCCTCATCACTTATCCTAATGAATGGGGCAACTTGGGTATGTGCAACCTGCTACCCAGGCCACATGAGTCCCGGAAAGCTCTAAATACTGCCCGACACATTGGAGGTGACATCATATCATCTTGGACACTCCAGGAAATTTTGTACCTCTAAGAACAGAGGTGGGATTTTTTTATTGGTCGGGGAGTTGTTTTACTTTGTGATCTTCATGGAGCTCTTTGGAGACTGGGGCACCAGATTGTAGAGGTGAGCCTGGATGTACTTTCTGAGCGCTTCCCTTCCCTTCCCCCGTGTCCTGAGTCTGCGTCTTCACGATGCCAGCCACGTTCCCATGGAAATCACTTACCGGTGGCACACTGTTCCAGAAACCCGGCAGTGATTAGCTGCAGCCTGGTTGGGGCTCCCGCTTTTGTAAAACCTGTGCTCTGCCCCTTGCAAGGGTCATAGTTTTAACAGACAAGCCTTTTTATTTTAACAATTCTGTAATCAAGCTTTCATTTCTTTAGCCTCCTGATCCGTTTTTCACTATCTTCCCCTTATCCACCTACGCCCACTCTTCCCACTGTGTGCAGCTGAGTTTGTCCAGTACCAAATCATCCTTTATTCTCAACCTGAGAATGAAATTGAATGAGGTGTCAAACCCGGCCAACAAAGGACCCCTCCTACCGTAGGTGGAGCTTGAGATTTCAAGCTTACACACACCCAACTTTCCAGGCACTGCAGAAATGTATAAGAAGAACGTTCTTAGGCAGGCTTGGAAGGCACTTTCCTTCCCATAGAGAAGTTGCAAGGGCCCTGCTGAGAAAGCCGGCAAATGGTGGTTGAGGTTTGCAAGAAGGTCAGAGGGAGACCAGTGCTAGCTGCACCCCCGCAGCTCGGCTCCTTTGAGCATCCAAGGCAACAGCCTGCTGCTTTCCCAAGAGGCTCCAATCAAGACAGGGGGATGCGCTGGGCCATTTGTCACTGCCCCAGGTGTAACATATGCATGCCTATTGGTACATACAGCCTGCGAGTCCACTCAGGCCCACCCATGCCTCATCTCAACCCCTGAACGTCCTCCTCCCTAAGATCAGGGCGCATGTGCCCTCTTCCCTCCTCCTCTGCATGCGTAGGTGATTGGTTCTATTCATCTGGGGCTGGAACCAACTCAGCCATCTCCACTTGATCAGGCACATTCATGCTCTGTGTGATCCCTCCCACCCCAGTTTTAATCCAAAGAATAGTCTTTTGAGGACTAGTGGGATTCTCTGCCAGCGTGACAGTCCTTGGCTCTCAAAGGTATTCAGTGGTTTAGAGCAGGCATGCTGATTTTTTTCTTCCAGGAGTGCTAGATTGGAATAGTTCTTCAGCTGGCTCCTAAGCTCAGTGACAGTTTAGAGGATTCGGGGTGCATGGTTCTATATTCATTGTCCATGAGAAGGAGCCAAGGCTTGCTTGAAGAAGAAGCAAGGTAGAAGTACGTTATTGAACACAGTGCCCAGAACCCTTTGCTTGTGAGAAGTGAAATGGAATATACCATTCAGAAGCTAAATCATAGATGAAAATGTGTCCAAGAGAAACTGCTTCTAGAATATTTTAAAGGCATTTTGCTGTGGAGGTAAAGGTCACTCACTACTTCCTTTGAGGAAAACTTACTCTGTACTAGTGACTGACCATGCCTGAAGCAGGTAACCTAACTAGGGATGGCCCTGGCTCCCACTGGCCCCTGTGCACCACTCCCTGTCCCCCCTTCAGTTCATCAAGCAGAGAGAGAAAGAGAGAGAGAGCGCTCCACTCTCTGGGCTGGAGTTATGCAAAAGCCAAAAATAGACTCTCGGAGTGCACCCAGACATAATGATTTCGTACAGCAGAAGGTCACTGTGTCTGCTTTTCCTGCCAACACACCCCTGGCTCTTCATCTATGGCTGCTTTGTGAAGCGAGCGAGCTGTGCCAGGAAGCTGCACTTTGTGGCTGTGAGGCACTATGAGAATTTAGAATCACGTCAATGAGGTTTTGTCAGGGTAGGCTAGAGGAGGGGGTATACACAATTTAAGAGGAGGACCATCTTTTAGCATCCTTGTGTTTATTGGCCTGAACGCTACTGTAACTCCATTTAAAAGGGGGGGGGGATGTCTCTCTGGTTCAACTACAAGCAATCTCCACACTGCAAATTCTGCCCAAAAAACAAAAAGATATCTGCCCCATAAGAATTTTGTTTCTGAGTAGTGGGATCATGAACAAGTTTCTCCATGCTTTCTAGAACATACAATATATATAATAGAAAGTAAAGCAACAAAACCTAGTTTTACATGTGTATGCATGTTAACATGTATGTGTGCATGTATGGTATGTACACATGGGTTTGTCACACAGGTCCAAAGTTGATGCCTCAGTCTCTCACCACTTTGTTTATTGAGACAGGGTCTCCCTCTGAGCCTGGAGCTCACTGATTCCTGCCAACCTAAGTAGCCAGCTTTCTCCAGTGATCCCTTGAGTCTGTCTTCTGAGTGCTGAATCACAGGCAGCTACCATAGCCACCAGGCTTGCATATGGGTTCTGGTTTTCATTCTTCTACAACAAGCACTTTATCCAGAGAACTATCTCCTCAGACCCCAGCAAAGCCTATTTTTGAAAAATAAAACTATACTCTATGCTATCCATTCTTTGCATTTTTGATAATCGGTACTGTAGAATGACATGAATGGACAGTCACTGCCAGTGTTCCTGCGTCACCCCGACCAAGGATTGGTATCCACAGCCATTTCTCCATTATAGATTCCAGAGGGCTGCTATACACACGCACACACATACACACGCATGCACGCACACACCCAGGGAGGCATCTGGTAACAAGACCAAAGGAAGTCAGCCATGCACCTCGGAAGCAAGGATAGATCATGGCCATTTGTCTCGAGTAATGAGACCTGAGCCTGTCAGGAGGGACGCTGTCCACTCAAGTACACCTGAAAACACCGTGTTCTTGCCCTGATGCACAGGACTCTGAGAGTGGGAAGATTCTTTCTTCCAGACCTGTAGGGATCAAGTAAAGCATAACAAACAGAGACAAATATCTAGAAACCACCCCTGGAGGGATCCCAAGTGTCTTTTTCTGAGTTGGAGGGGGGCAGACAAGGTTTGCATTGCCTGGATTTGAGCTTTGATGTCCCTGCCTGCTTGCGTGACAAGAGCTCATCTGTCAACCAATCCCACGTACTGACTCAAACCGTATGGAGCATGAGGTGACAGAAAGGGCACAGTGGGTGGTGGTGCTGTGTCACATCACCTTTGGGTGTAATGCATCCTGCAAGTTTCCTCATGACTCACACACACATCTTTGACCATTCCATAGCACACAAACAAAAAGTCAATGCTAATGTATTTATTGTAATACCCATTTGAAAGACAAAGCAGTTCATCAAACTAATCATTGCCTGAGCAACTGTTTGAAACTGGCTCAGGTGGTTTCGCTCTTTACAGGAAGTTAATCTGTGGTTTGTGAGGTGGATCGTTGCATTACAGGCAGATATGTGGCAGATTTGGGAAGTGATTAAATGATGCCCCAGAATGTGCAATTTTGCCAAATTCTTTGCTTTCCCTTCTTCTTTTTTCTCCCTGTTTTTAATCTTAGCATCTCTGAATAAAACTGCATAGAGAATAAATTGCTTACAAGAAAAACTAGTTGCGAACAGTTTTAATAATGATGCTAGTAACTTTTAGTGAGTGTCAACAAAGACTTATTGCATCGCTGGTGCAGATTGGGAGAATCGCTTATCTTCTCTTCAGGTCTGCGCTTCGGAGCTATCATTCTGTCCCCTCATGGAAAGCAGGGCTCCTAAATGTGTGTGTGTGCACACATGCTTGTTGTCTTTTTCATAAGCAGGTGTTCATAGCTCTCGTGGCCTGTGTATGTATGAGTGAGTGTGTGTGCAAATGTATGCAAGTATGCTTGTGTTACATAGTAACAAGATAATAATGCCGCGTCTAAGCTACCCTAGTATTTATATTAAATAATGACATGCTGATGTTGGTGGCCCATAATTCTCCATTTTCCATTAACCATCCGGCCAAGTAAACTGTTTTCTGATCTCTCTTAGATGGAAATCCTCTATGAATGTGGAAGCCATTAGCAGAGTAATTGCTGTCTGTTGCCATGACAACCAGCCGCTGCAGTCACCTGCCCGAAGTCTTGCCAGACTGCACCAGCTCAGCCGCGCCTGTGGTGAAGACTGTGGAGGATTGTGGCAGCCTGGTGAATGGGCAGCCACAGTATGTCATGCAAGTCTCAGCCAAGGACGGGCAGTTGCTGTCAACCGTAGTGCGGACTCTTGCCACCCAGAGGTAGTGCCACCGTTAAAATGAACGGGTCTGCAATTGATCCAAAGAGCTGTTTGTCAAGTGGAGAATGTTAAAGGGAGGATAATTGGTGTTCAGGTCTTTGTGTCCGGGAAGAAAGGTACTGGGAAAAAGAAAAAAATAAAAAGGCTGTCCAAGTTCTGCTGCTGTTTCCACAGCAGCAGGATCACAAAGCTAAAATTCATGTGGCCTCATTCCTCCTAAAGCCACTGTAGAGAGCCAGGCAGGGGAAAGCTGCCATGAGATACGGGGCTGCTTGCTGTACATTTGTTATTTTGACACTGCTGTGGCTGGTTTTGTCTTCTTGTCCCCAGCAGCTAACAAAGCTAAGCCCTTTGTTAGGACAGAAGGTAGGAGTCACCTGATTTCTGGTGGCGGAGCCAAAGTGATTGAATTTGTGAAATTGAAATAAGGCTTCCAGTAGCCCAGGCTAGCCTCATACTCACTGTGTAGCTGAGGATGGCCTTGAAGGCCTGGTCCTCCACCTCTTGCATACTGGGATTAGAGGCATGTGCCACCATGCCTGGCTTTGTGGATACAACTTTTGAAGTAATGTTCCCAGTGTGTATGCCAGTTAGCACTACCCAGTGGATATGCCGTCCAGGCTGTTCTCTGGGCGAGTCTCCTTTCTCCACGTAGGGATTTGTCCTGTCATCCCCTTCACTTGACAGCCCCATCCCTGCCTCTCCACGCACACTCCAACCTATGAACTACTGTTATGACTGGTTTCCCTGTGTGAAGAAGAATGGGGGTTCTAAACAGCCTGGAGACCCTGTATTCAGGCCAGTTCCTTGTCCCTAAGGTTTCCTCTTATGCTGCTGTTGCCCATGGCAGATTGAGGGCTACAGTCTCCCAGTGTACCATGTACATGGCCTCTCCATTTTTTTTTTCCAGAAAAAAAAAAACAACTTCTAGTTTCCTAGCACCCCATACCAGGCAGCTCACAGCCCCCTATAATTCCAGTTGGGGTGGAGAGCGCTAATACCTTTGACCTTTCTAGGCAAGTGTACTTATGTGCATACACACACACACACACACACACACACACACACACACACACTATTAAAAATAACAAAGTCAATCTTTAAAATATGTCTGGCTGTCACAGAAGACAGAAAGAAAAATATGTAGTGTATGTTTCCCACTTCTTGGAGAGTTTCCAGCAATTGGCTAGTGCTCAGAACATAAAGAGGTGGTAAATGTCTTTGGCCGTCTGTGAACCAAGGATGGATGGAGGTGTGTACACCAGTCATCCTAGCAGGCACCAATCACTTTACTTGATCAAGAAAAGCAGGCCGGTTGATGTAACTTGAAAACTGTGTCTGTCAGTGTAACTGAGAGCTGTGTCTGTCTGACTGTGTATGTGGTGTGTGTGTGTGTGTGTGTGTGTGTGTGTGTGTGTGTGTGTGTTGTGTGTCTCTCTTTCAACTACTTCTGGGCCACACATCAGTATACACCAAAACACTACAGTTTTTCCCTGATAAGATTCGAAACAAACAAAGAAGGCCAAGAGACAAAAGCCAGCTGTCAGCTTCTCACCTTCCTCTCCCCAGAGCCTGGACAGGTCCCCTGGACAAGTGAAAGGGTGATCCTGCCTGTCTCTCACTCTCATTCATTCTCAGGATCATTTCCAGAAAGGCCTTTGGCGATCAGTAGTGTTTCCATGGCTGTTTCCATTTGGTTCAGAGATAGCATTAAAAAGTAATGGGGCATGGACCTAGGTTAGCATTGTCTCTGGAGGACTTGGGAGAAAGAAAGCAAAAGTGTGAAAGAAGCCTGGGTTGTCACATACCACGACAACATTCTTTCAAAATGCCAGTCCTAGAGGCAGGTGCCCCCTCTCGTTGAACACTGAAGTCATCTTAATCTGATATTTCCATTAGGCTTGCATGGTGAGGTCTGTGTTACTTGATTTTTCCGCAGCCTGGGTCGTTCTAGGTCCTTCAGATCTAAGCCTCAGCTCTAGACCAACTTTTCTCACTTTTGAGCCCATTTTAGAGATCAGGAGACTAAAGTATGGCGAGAAGAAGTTACTTGTTCATAACTGTCTGACAAGTAAGCTCCCAAGCTTGGGTTTGAGCCCAGGCAGCCAGATTGCAGAGCTGGGAACCATGGATGGTGTCATGCCCTCTTCAAGAAATAGAAGGGAGCGGCTTTCCCCCTTGAATGCAGAACTCTAGAGGCCACCTCAGTAGGACACATCCACCACTCCCTTGCAGTGTAGTGTCTCCAGCCTCCTAGGGAGTGTCTCCATGAGCTCAGGGGGCCGTGTAGTGTCTCCAGCATCCTAGGGAGTGTCTCCATGAGCTCAGGGGGCCGTCTGCACCTCCCGTCTGTGCCCAGTTCAGTCTGCTGCTTCAGAGTCAGGTGCCAGTTTACTTCCCACTCTCACTCTCCTGCAGCACTGAAAAGAGAAATGAAGGTAACCTTGTGTATACCTTCGTCTGACTCAAATGACGCTCTTTGTCTAAAAACCACAGTTGATGTCATTTCCAAAGAATTTGTTCTTGGGGCTGGAGAGATGACTCAGCTGTTAAAAACACTCACTACTCTTGCAGAGAACCAGATTCCATTTCTGGCAACCACATGGCGGCTCAGAATCATCCATAACTCCAGTTCCATGGATCCAATTCCCCTTTCTTGCTTCTGTGAGCACCAGGCATGCATGTGGTGCACATCCTACCTGCCAGTAAAACACTCACACATGTAAAATTAAATCATAAAATCTAAAAAGCTTTTTTTTTTTGATTGTGGGTTTTTCAAGACAGGTTTATCTGTGTAACAGCTCTCGCTGTCCTAGAACTTGCTTTGTAGACCAGGCTGGCCTAGATCTCACAGAGATCCGCCTGCCTCTGCCTCCTGAGTACTGGGATTACAGGCATGCACCTCCATCGCCCAGCTCTAAAAAGCTTGAAACAAAACAAACAAATTGAAAGAATTTGTTCTAAATGGTGATGAATGGGTTTTGTAGACTTATTGTATTTTATATGTGTGAGTGTTTTGCCTGCCTGTATGTATGTGTATAAATACCACATGTGTGGCTGGTGCCTACAGAGGTCTAAAGAGGATGTTGAATCCCTAGTACTGGAGTTGCAGATGATTGCAAGCCACCATGTGGGTTCTGGGAATTGAACTCATGTCTTCTGTAAGAACAGTGAATTTAACCATGGAACCATCTCCCTAGCCCATAATTTTATTTTTTGATTCGTGGTCTGCCTGAACTTTTTCTATGTTCAGGACAAAAATCTGGTGCTGGAAAATATAGGAAAGAAAGGAGTTGGCTGGGAGATGCTCAGTGGATAATGTGCTTGCCACACAAACATGCAGGCCAGAGTTGGGATCCTCAGCATCCACATGAAGGCTGAGCCGATGTGACTGCTCACTTCTAATCCCAGCATTTGTGAGGTGGAGTCAGGGAACTCTCCACAGCAAGCTGCCTGACTAAACAGACTAGTTTATCTATTTGATAGATCTGAGTTCAAGAGAGAGACCCTGCCTTAATAAGTAGATGGAGGGCAACATCCATTATGACACCCAGCATCAACTTCTGGCCCCTAGCATACACGCATGGGGATATATATATATATATATACATATATATATATATATACATGTGCGCACACACACGTAAATATACACACAGATGCACATGCAAAGAAACCATAAATTTTTAAAACATATACGTGTATTTAAACCTTTCAACTCACGGAGATACGAAGTCTTTCATCACTTTGAAGATGCAAGAGGACCAAATTTTCCAAAACAAGCCCTGGAAAACAATTATAAATCCTAACACTTCTGTCCAAACCACATTACTAGGTAACCATGTAGAAGGTAATGTTTAGACCTAAAAGTATTTCAACAGATAAAGGGAAAGAATGATAGAAATTAACATACCATCATTTGTCTATTCAACAAATTAACAGGTCAAGTCATTAAGATTCAATGACTTCTGACATTACACATGAAAAACATGAGTCCACAGTGTCCAGAGGAAATATATTCAGGCACACATATATCTGTAAGGAGGGGAGCTTAACGCAGTTTGTATTCTGAGCAGCTGCCCCTGGGGAGGGCCCAAATGATACCGATCAAGGGCCCTCCACAGGGCGGTGGGTTGTCACTCAGTGACCAGCAGGTACCCCTCCTTCTCTTGCAGCCCCTTCAATGACCGGCCAATGTGCAGGATCTGCCATGAAGGCAGCAGCCAAGAGGATTTGCTCTCTCCATGTGAATGTACGGGGACCTTGGGGACAATCCATCGGAGCTGCCTGGAGCATTGGCTGTCATCCTCAAATACCAGCTACTGTGAACTCTGCCACTTCAGGTTTGCAGTCGAGCGCAAACCCAGGCCGTTAGTGGAGGTCAGTAAGTGGAGCACGTCCTGAAAACTTAGATGTAATGAGCAAATGATGTCTGCTTTTATGCCCAGTCACAAATCCTGTGGAGCTTCACCAGAGCACAGCAATAGCTCTGAGAAAGAGAAAGAGAGAGAGAGAGAGAGAGAGAGAGAGAGAGGCAGACAGAAGCCAAGAGGGACAGCTTACCCTCTCACTCAGGAGCCAGTAGCAGTTAAACCTGTGTAACTTCCACAAGGTTTCGTGGAAACAAGAAGAAAGGAGAAAGGGGAAGTTGAGGACAGGATCTCCACTTGTTAACGCCTTTGATATGAATATACATTTCAAACCTGTACACCATCTGTGCACACCATCTCCCCAACTTGAAGCAACACATAAAGGGGCATTAGGGTTGTGTACCCGAGAAGTCTTCTTGAGAAAGGATAACTGGGTAGCACAGTGGACTAGACCCAGACTTCCTGAGTTCTGTCGCCGGGTTAAGTCACCTCACCTCTTGGAACCACTGTAAGGATTAAACAGTCACCGAGTATAGAACACTTAGAATCAGGAAACATGAAGATATTTGAGTGAGCAAAGGTCTTTCTGATGCTTTTCAGTGAATTGCCTTATGCTGGGACTTCCTTTCGTAAAAGGTGATGCTGTCGATTCACCAAAGTAGGAGGATGTTTTCCTTTCTGTTTTAAGACACACAGGATTTTCCCTGAGACCTAGAGACTGTGCTGGTCTTAGAATCATTGGAGGAAAGTGATTATTTGGGTGTTTCTGCCCTCTCTCCTACCTCTAAATCCTGCTAGTCAATTAAAGTCCCAGCATTGGCAACAGTAAATATTTTAATGCATTATGAGGCAGAGTGCTTGTAGTACAGATATACTGAGAATCGTATGTCTGTGTCAAAGTTATCCCGGGGAAACTGCGACCAGAACTCGAGCCTGAAATCAGGAGGCCCTTCCTGGAGACTGGATAGTAGATGCTGATGTCGAGACACTGAAAGCTCTGTGTATGTGTTCTTGTGGTTTTGACCTTGAAACTTTAATCAGGACTTATAACTGGAGCAAGCCTGGTGTGTGACTTAACTCCCAAGTGCTGCAACAGTTACTGGCTTGCCCCAGCAGACTCTGCTTCTGTGAAGGCTGCACCAAGCGACCTCTTTTGTAGCCATTTTGCCACTTGACAGCCACTTTCAGAAATTCATATTGGAGATTGCCTGCCAGGATCTGGCCCTGTACCAGGTTCTCAGGACCCTAACATGTCAGAGTCCCTCTGCAGAGACAGAGGCAATGAAATAATAGAGAACACGAAGATTTCCAAAGCCCAATAGCAAAAGGGAAAAGAAGTCTATTTCTCCTTTCCAGAAACTTTTGGAATCTCCCCAGTTTGCCATTGCAGTCTCTCCAGGGGAGCTGGCTTCCCCCTGGTGAGGAAATCAGGCTTTTAAATGGATCCTTCCCGATGGTCTTCTTTATGGAGATATTCAGACTGGCAAAAATCCAAGAGAGGGCTGCTGGTGTGTGTTCACATTTTCACACTGTAGTTTCTTAATAACGTACCATGATCCTCTCCCATCTCAGAGAGCGTACCACGTGCAGAAGGCTCTTCAAAGCTGCCAGTGCCGGGTCCCAGGCTGACTGTCGGGATGGTCGCCATTAAACAGGGCCACAAGGCAAACGACCTTGAGAATGTGTGAGGTGCTCTATAAGATTTAGGGCCTCGCCCACAAGAGCTTCACCCAGGCGGGCACCAGGGGTGAAATTTTCATCGCCCAGATGGACTTTGACACTTTTCAGAGTTAACGATGACTGAACAAGTTGAAAGTGAAAGGCAAACCCTCGCGGACGGGGGAGGCTGGCCGTTTGATCATCCCGCGGAGAAGTGAACTTGTTGTTTAACCACCAGCAATAAAACGTGGTCTTTGGTTTCTCAGCTGGAGAACAAATGAGAACCAGGTGCAGGCAGACTTTTAAACAAGTGACATTGCTGATTGACTTTTCCCAGTCTTACCAAAGGGCAGCATATTCGTGGAGGCCAGTGTGTCTCAATAATTCATCTAGAGACGAGCATGCATCTTGTTGGTATGCCAGCCCAAACTGCCTATTTGGGTTAAGGATTAGGAGTATTGTCGCATTCGTTCTCATTTTTATTCTCTTAATTGCTTTAATCATTACTTTGTTTACCACTCGGATCTGCCTTCTCATTAAAGCGAGAAAATTCTATGGCATTTAATTTTAAAATCAATGTGACAGTAGCGGCTCTTGTTGCTGGAGGAAGCAGTTTTAGAAGTCATTTATAAATTTTATTTGTCAGCAACAAGATGCTAACACTAGCTGCAATGACTTCAGCATCTCAGATTTGCACTTTTGGGAAGCCCCTTCGGCCCTGCACTCATCACAGCCCTTCACTGCCCTTCACTCCCTGTCCCTGAGCATCCTCTTTCACCTCCTTCTCTGAACTTTGCACCAGCTATTACTCATTCATCGGCGGTCCAGAGCCCAGGACTGTTGTGTATACACGGGCTGTGATGTGAAATGTTTTCCCCTCAGAGGGTGAGTTTCTGCTCATAATGGCCAAACCCATAGCTGGTTTTTATTAAAACCTCCAGCCTGGGCACCCCCCTCCCTCTTAGCCACTGACCATCTGTGTGGCCATCTGTGTGTCTGCTCAGTCCCTCTGCTTCATTGTGGAAGGGGGTAGATGAGGGGCTTTCCGTGGCATCTTTTGGTCTCCATAAAGCTAAATGTCCTTATTATTTTTAAAATAATACATTCTGGAATTAAATAATGTTCAATGGGAGAGCACTTGCTTAGCATGCAGGAGGCTCTGGGTTCCCAACCCAACGAACAAACCACACTTTCAATGACCATGCTTAATCTCGCCTTCTTGCCTAACTTGCCTACCTGCCCATATTGCAAATGTTATGTCCTATGTATTTTCCTGCTGCAAAGCAAGCCGGTAAAACAAGTTAGTTTCAGCCCATGAGAGTGACAAAGCAGTCAGATGTGGATGAATTCCTGCTGTGGTCCAGCAAAAGCAGTCTCATGAGTCTGTGTCCAGTCATGCATGGTTTGAAAGAAAGGAAAATGGTCAAACTATAGGAGACATAGAAAAGGGGGCAGTTCTAACATGTGCACCCCACACCTTCACAGCCAGCACGGCCCTCAGCAAGCTGTTGTGAGTTTGTTGGCAATGAAAATGTGCCCAGAGGCAGTTTATAAGATGAATTACTCCCCACAATAATGGCCCACTAGAATGTAGTGAATAAATACACACTAACTGTAAGAGGACCCACTGGATGGCTCGCCTGGGAGGTTGATGGTCTCCTTCCTGCTCCTCTTTAGTTTTTCTTGGTTCTCTTGATAAGGTGAATTCTGAAACTATTCTTTTTTAGCAAAGAATAAGATGCAGCAAGCTGATCTCTCTCTCTCTCTCTCTCTCTCTCTCTCTCTTCCCTCTCTCTCTCTCTTTTCTCTCTCTCTCTCTCTCTCTATCTCTCTCTCTCTCTCTCTCTCTCTCTCTCTCTCTCTCACACACACACACACGCACACACACACACACATCCCTGGACTCCAGCACACTGCTATGACAGTGATTCTGATTGACCACTTTGCCAGGGAAGCCCATTATCAATGTGTATGTGCAAGTAGATTGCTGGCAACATCAGTTCCTAAAGATCTAATATCTGCCACAGATTCTTAGGACATGTGTGTATAATAGCCACCTTTGCCCAGAAGTTAGAGATCAGCTCAGCAATGTGCGCTGGAAAGGAAACAGCAAGGAATGGTGGGGCTGTGGTATAAAGACTGTGTGAGTCTGGTCTTCTTCAATCAGAGGGATGTGATTGTTCACAGAGGGCGTGGTTAGGTTCCCATGTTTCTATTTCCTTTACACAGACCTAGAAAACTGGTAAGAATTATACGAACAGTTTAAAAAGCTGTTCCCTGTGAGTCAAAGATTTAGCTAAACTGAAACTGAGGACTGTTTTCAAACATATCTACATATCAAACATATCAAACATAGCTACCTACAGTAAATGAATATAAAACTAGGGAAATAGGGTTAAGGATATCTTTATCAATTTTCTTATTTGTGACTTTATTTCTTTTAAGACACTGTAGGAATATAGTCTTTAAAGTGTTCTCTGGATTCAGTGTAATCTTCTAGCTACCCAGAATGGAGAAACTACACACAGAACAGAGAAACTACACAGAGAACAGAGAGAAACTACACACAGAACAGAGAGACTACACAGAGAACAGAGAGAAACTACACGCAGAACAGAGAGACTACAGACAGAGAAGAGAAACTACACACAGAATAGAGAGACTACACACAGAACAGAGAAACTACACACAGAACAGAGAGACTACAGACAGAGAAGAGAAACTACACACAGAACAGAGAAGCTACCCAGGCGGTGGAGGCGCACGCCTTTAATCCCAGCACTCAGGAGGCAGAGGCAGATGGATCTTTGTAAGTTCGAGGCCAGCCTGGTCTACAAGAGCTAGTTCCAGGACAGGCTCCAAAGCCACAGAGAAACCCTGTCTCGAAAAACAAAACAAAACAAAAACAAAAACAAAAAAAAGGCCAGATAAACTACACCCAAAACAGAGAAACTACACACACAGTGGAGAGAGAACTACATACATAGCACAGAACTACACACATAGCACAGAACTACACACACAGAGAGAGAGAACTAGATACACAGCATATATACATAGCAGAGAAAACTACACAGAGAGAGAGAGAACTACACCCACAGTGGAGAAAGCCTCACATGGAGAGCCACTTTATACATTGCGCTTGCTGTTTATATATTCAGAGTCACTTCTGGGGCTGGAGGACGGCTCAGCAGTTAACAGCAGCCCCCTTCCAAGACACTGGGCTCAATTTTCAGCACTCGTGTGGCAGATCACAACTGTTTATAACTCGAGTTTCTGGTTATCAAACACCTTCTTCTGGCCTCTGTGGGCTCTACACACACAGTACACAGACATACATGAAGGCAAAAT